CCCCCCCCAAACTTGCCCTTCTTCCCCTCATATTAATTGAGACTTGGGATTTCTCTGGTCTCCTAAGTCAGTTAACCACCAGATCATCTGCCGAGCTTCCCAGATACTGCAGCTGTGCTCTGTTCTCTTCTTCCCGGATTTGTCCCTCTTCTGTTGGGGAGATACCCGTTTGAATTGTGACGTTGTCATCCTCGTAGAGTTTCGGGAATAAGGAGACAGAAACGAGTGTGTTCCCTCTGCCTTAGGTAACTGGAAATCCCGAGTTGCGTTCTTACAGTGATGTGGAGGGCCCTGAATGGGCCTCTTCCTGCCTGTCAGGCCTCATGGCGTCCATTCTTCCTCACTCTCTGAGATTTTTTTTTTTTTTTTTAAATTTTTTTTCAACGTTTATTTATTTTTGGGACAGAGAGAGACAGAGCATGAACGGGGGAGGGGCAGAGAGAGAGGGAGACACAGAATCGGAAACAGGCTCCAGGCTCCGAGCCATCAGCCCAGAGCCCGACGCGGGGCTCGAACTCACGGACCGCGAGATCGTGACCTGGCTGAAGTCGGACGCTTAACCGACTGCGCCACCCAGGCGCCCCCTCTCTGAGATTTCAGCACTACTGAGCTTAAGATTCTTCATGGTCCATGCTCTTGTCTACTCGGGAGCCTCCTTTTACACATGCTGGCCCATGATCTTGTTTTGTTCTTGGCCTCTACCCGGTTAATCCCCATCACCCTCTAGATCTTTGCTAAAACCTCACTTTCCCAGAGCAGCCTGCCTGGCCTCTGTTGCCTTCTTTGTGTCCTCTCAGGAAGTACTGAAAGGACAGATGGAAGGATTATGGCTCCATGCAGGTCTTTTAAAAAGCTATAGACCAGTTTTGCCTAAACGGTCTTTTGAAATCATGAGTATTATTTTGTTTGTATTTTTTGGTGGGCAAGGTTTTGAGAATCAGAGCCACCCCAGTGCTTTCTGATCGGAAGCTGAAGTAAAAGGAACGTGGCCCATTGGGGTGCCTGGGTGGCTCGTTCAGTCGAGCATCTGACTCTTGGTTTTGGCTCAGGTCATGATCTCACGATTGGTGGGTTTGAGCCCCGTGTCGGGCTCCACGCTGACAGTTCTGCGTTGATAGCCTGGAGCCTGCTTGGGATTCTCTCTCTCCCTCTCTGTCGCCCCTTCCCCCGCTCACTCTCTCTGTCCCTCAAAATAAATAAGATGAAACTTAAATAGGAATATGGCACCGCAGTGTCATTAGGAGTCAGCTCTCCATTTTCTGGGGAAGCTGTCCGGCTCCCCAAATGGTATTCACTCATTCATTCATTTTATTTAACCTCTAGACCCAATTTGGGGCTTGAACTCACAATTCCGAGATCCAGAGCCGCGTGCTGTGCTGACTGAGCCAACAGGCGCCCTCCCCGAAATGGTATTTAAGGCTCTCTAGTAACCCGCCCCAACAAAAAAACTTTATGTGGGCCCTTTGTTACAGAAGCTGCTTTCTCAACTAACCTTTTAGCACAGCAGGGGACTGGGAGCAAAACTAATTTGGGTATCCCCTCTTTCAGGAGAACAGTGTTGCCAAGAGTTAGGGAGCCTCTGCTGAGGAAGGCCAGGCCAGAGGAGGGAGCCAGAAAGGCCTCGAGCAAACCCACGGTGGGGATTTTGTGCTATCTTTGATTTCACCGTTGAACTTCTCAATTTTCTGTTTTTTTAATTTTTGGCTTATAACCTCCTCCTCTCTTCTGCAATTTGAAGTCCACCACGTTTGGGCCACAGTGGACTACTTAGGTGCTTCTTCTCTTCATGTGTTAGAAAAATTCTAGAGGGGGGGCGCCTGGGTGGCTCAGTCGGTTAACCGTCCGACTTTGGCTCAGGTCATGATCTCACGGTCCGTGAGTTCGAGCCCCGCGTCGGGCTCTGTGCTGACAGCTCAGAGCCTGGAGCCTGCTTCGGATTCTGTGTCTCCCTCTCTCTCTGACCCTCCCCCGTTCATGCTCTGTCTCTCTCTGTCTCAAAAATAAATAAACATTAAAAAAAAAAATTAAAAAAAAAATTCTAGAGGGTCCCTGGTGGCAAATAAGTAATACCATTTCACTTCTGGAAGCGTCACTCAGTGGTAATTGTAAGTTCACAGGCTTGGCTTTCTGGAGTTCTCATAGCTCTGAAGGTGTACTTCCTGTGTCCCTCTGTGTACATTTACTTTATCCCCATTTGGGTTGAGTTCTATGTTGATGATGAGGTTTGAATGAGTTAGAGTTTAAAAGGCCTCAAATATATTTAAAAACATTAACATCCAAGTCTCATGGGTTAATGTACCTCTTCTTTCTCAGCTGACTTTTATTTTTTTTTTTTTAATTTTTTTTTTCAACATTTATTTATTTTTGGGACAGAGAGAGACAGAGCATGAACGGGGGAGGGGCAGAGAGAGGGAGACACAGAATCGGAAACAGGTCCCAGGCTCTGAGCCATCAGCCCAGAGCCCGACGCGGGGCTCGAACTCACGGACCGCGAGATCATGACCTGGCTGAAGTCGGACGCTTAACCGACTGCGCCACCAAGGTGCCCCTCTCAGCTGACTTTTAAAAGATAAGTTCTAGAAACCCTACCCGTTGTCGAAGGGTTCCCAATAATTCTGCGTTGTCCTCTAAAATCCCCGAGGCCTGGATGTGCTGGCTTACCTTGCTTTCAAGGCAGACTTGGTTTAAATTACTCACTTTGTCTCAAGCCTCATTAAGACCCATGGTTCTGGTCTCTTCTAGGGAGGTTGACCTGGCCCGGAGACTACTTGCCAGGTGGAGGGTCCATTAGAACACTATAGGAAAAGCGAGGCCGGGGAAAGAATGCAAAGGGGATGAAAAGATGGTTGTCGTAGCCCGTTCTTAGAGACACTTAATTTGAAGGAGAAAGGAAGTGGGGTGGTAGTTAGCTGGTGTGGACAGAGTACGTGAAGTGTACGTCCTTAGAAGTTGAGAGACACTTGAGTCCATTTATTTTATTTTTATTTATTTATTTTTTGATGTTTATGAGACAGAAAGAGAGCATGAACGGGGGAGGGTCAGAGAGAGAGGGAGACACAGAGTCCGAAGCAGGCTCCAGGCTCCGAGCTGTCAGCACAGAGCCCGACGCGGGGCTCGATCTCAAGCCGTGAGATCATGACCTGAGCCAAAGTCAGTTGATTTCCCCAACCGACTGAGCCACCCCGACGCCCCAAATCCATTTAAATATCCGCCACCTTCCTCTAGGAGAAGGGGTGCCGGGCGGGCGAGACTGCCTTGTTTTGGCTTCTTTGGAAAATGATGCAAATAGATATGCGGTATTCGTTTACTTCGTCCTGCATGCCAAACATTCAGGCCGGAACTGTACCAAAAATGATCATACTGCCTCCAAATTGTACGCTTCACTCGTGGTCCCCTGAATGAGTTGGATTACGTTTCTTCGGGGAAACCGAGTTGGTAGGAAGACACAAAGACCACAGCGCTAATTTATCTGTTGGAATAATCTTTGGCCATCCAGCTCTTTCCACTCATTAATTTTATGAGGTCATTATCATTCTTCCTACCTAATAGATAAACACACTAAAAGTTTGAGCCTTTACCAAAAAGTCTCATTTTATTTTTTTTTTCCCCAAGTCTCATTTCCAAGCCATTGGAAAGCCAGACTGGAATAGTCCTTGTTTTAAATCCTAGACCTCGGTTCAGTCAGAGATAGTAGGACTTTTGAAGCATGATCGAACGGCAGAAACCAGCTGTAAAGCTGAAATGAAAAATGCAAAACAAGAAATGGAAATGAGAGGGCCTAATGGCTTATTTCTTAGAATATTTTCCAAGTTTTCCCTTGTCTTTAAATGCTGAGGTGTTGTGCACTATTTTTGCAAGACCGTTGTCCAATGTGTGTAGGTTTCTGACTTGAGCTGTCGTTCCTCTTTTCTGGCATTTGACACCTTCTACCATCCACCTTCCCCTGAACTGGAAGTAAAAATCTTACAACAGAAATATTTACCAAAGTCCAGAGGAATTCCCAGGCTAAACAAAGGGGCAAACCACCCCCCCTCCGTTACTTGTTTTGTGCCTCAAAATAAAAGCTATAAATGGGCCGTCCCTTCAGTAGCTGGTGATTGAACTTGGGAAGGTAGATAGTTTGATATTTGCCCTTCTTCCGTCAGTTTCTAGATTTCTCTATTTTTAGGCTAGCACCAGCCCTGGATAAAATAATTCAAGTCATGAAGAGGAATGTTCAGTTCAGCGTTTTTATCCTTCTGAAGTGTGCTTTCTACCAGCTGCCATGGAAACATTGTGTAACTCGTTTCTTGGATAGTCTCACTCCTCTTGAGTTCCGGTTACTGAGCGCTGGTGAGCTCATTACAACTTGGATCCAAGTCCTGGAAAGGCAGCTCCCGGGGAAAGTGGAGGCCAGCCTCCCTCCCGCGGGGGACAGGGGTGGGGAAGTGGGGGGGGGGGGG